GTTGCCAGGCTTCCTGCAGATGCCTCTGCCAGCCTGGGACCTTCAGCTGCAGCTCCTCTGAGTTTTCAGGTTGGGCTGAGCCAGCTCAGAGGCTTTAGGGAATTGTTTCTGGAGAAAATCCACAGGGATGGGAAGGTGCTCAGCGGAATCAGGAAGACAGCTCCATGGAGGAGCCATCACATCCCTCCTGCTGTCAGCTTGATCCCAGGTAAAGATTGTGTTGCTGGAGCTCCTCATATACCAAGCTGAGCAACACGGTGGGTGTCCATGGAGATGTTACCCCAGCAGAATCGAATTCATAGAATCACAGAATCATGAGATGGTTTGGGTTGGAAGGGACCTTAAAGCTCATCCAGTCCCACCCCCTGCATGGGCAGGGACACCTCCCACCAGCCCAGGCTGCTCCAAGCCTCATCCAACCTGCCCTTCAACACTGCCAGGGATGGGGCAGCCACAGCTTCCCTGGGCAACCTGGGCCAGGCTCTCACCACCCTCACAGCAAAGAATTTCTTCCTAATCCCTGCCCTTGTCCCAAGCCCCTCCCCAGCTTTCCTGGAGCCCCTTCAGGCACTGGAAGGTGCTCTAAGGTCTCCCTGGAGCCTTCTCTTCTCCAGGCTGAACACCCCAACTCTCCCAGCCTGGCTCCAGAGCAGAGCTGCTCCAATCACTGGAGAGCAGATTGTTCTTTTTCCCTGGTTGTTTCTCTGCTGAGAAGCTGAATTCAGACATGACTAAGATGACTAAGACTACCCAGCAGGAGATGACTCCTTTCCCTGGCATCAGGAAGTTAATTCAGCTCACACTGCCCCACTGCACGTGGGGGGGATCAAGAAATGACACAGGGACCAGGAAATGTATCAAGGGTTCTTCACATCATACCAAGTACACCCGTACCCAAAGGACTTCTCAGGGACCACGTGGCATTGCTTTGCTCCTCCATCATCTCCTCCTCAGGCTCTCCAGAAGCTTGAACAGTTTGCCCTGCCATTCCTGGTGGCTATTTCCAAGGCAGATCTTTCCTCTTGGCTGGGCAGAACCTCTCACAGTCCCATTTTGTCCACCTTGGAGCACCTGGCACAGGCTGCAGAAGTGCTGACTGGTGTGTTCTACAGCACTTGGAAGGAGACCCAAACCAGTGACTCATGTTGATGTCTTTAGATGCTGAGCAGGTGGCTCTGGTGAACACAGACCTTCCCTGTGTCTGTGTTTCCTTTCCATTACTTAGGGCAAAGGTGAGGAGGTGCCTATGTGCCTCAGGTATGGAGACGAAGTCAGGAGCAACAAGCTGACTAAGCAGGATGTGGTGAGCATCCTAAAGGATGTCTGGAAGAAGAAAATTGCCCTGGAAAAGCAGGTTTGTCCTATTTTCCTTCTCCACAAACAGCATTTGCCATGAGAGTCAGTCCAGTTTGGGAAGCCAGGGTCTCCCCCAGGTCCTACCCAGTACTTTTTCTGCATCAAGCAGCATCAAACATGGTAAGAACCAACCTCCTGAGCTGGCAGTGACCACTGCAGTCACCTGGAGCTGGATCAGCCACACTCATGAGCCCAAGGCCTCAGGTACTGCTGCTGTTCCGTAGACCAGCAGGACTATTCTTCTGTTAGGTGATGGAACCTCATCACCATTTGTGTAGACCAAGCATGGCCAGGGTTTTCTGCTGGATTGAGTTGAACTCCTGCCAATCCTTCTTAAGCTCCAGTGTCTGTGCCCACGTGGCCGAAGAACTGGTGACACTACAGGAAAAGGGAGGGCCAGGGGCTAAAAATAACTTCAACTCATAAATTAATGAATTCTGAAGTGGTTTAGTTTTGTTACACAAGAGAATTTTCACCAGTGAGCTCAGCAGCAGAAAAGCTTCATTTACCTGGGAGAAACTTCTGAATTACCTAATAATGGAGATTCCAGCCAGCACTGGGGGAGGTTTGAAAGGCTGGGAGAGCTGGGGCTGCTCAGCCTGGAGGGGAGGAGACTGAGGGGGGGTCTCATCAGTGCTGATCAGTATCTCCAGGGGGTGTCAGGAGGATGGGCCAGACTCCTCTCAGTGACAGGACAAGGGGCAATGGGCACAAACTGAAGCACAGGAGGGTCAACCCCCTGCATGGGCAGGGACACCTCCCACCAGCCCAGGTTGCTCCAAGCCCCATCCAACCTGCCCTTCAACACTGCCAGGGATGGGGCAGCCACAGCTTCCCTGGGCAACCTGGGCCAGGCTCTCACCACCCTCACACCAAACAATTTCCTCCTCATGTCTCACCTCAATCTCCCCTCTTCCAGTTTTAATCCATTCTCCCTTCTCCCTACATGCTCTTGTAAGAAGTCCCTCTAGCTTCCTGTAGGTCCCCCCTTCAGGCACTGGAAGACCCTTACAAGGTCTTCCCAGAGCCTCCAAAATTGTCTTTAAATATCACTTGCTAATTCTCCATCAGATTTAGTTTTACATAAAAATATAAAGCACCCTTTCCCTTTCAGTGCACACCAGTGAGCAGCTGTGCTCCCAGATGGGTTATGACCCACTCTTACCACAAGAGGCTAGACTGGCAAAAGGGCACAAGACCCAGGTTTGAAAGCCCCAGCTCTAGAAAGAGACACAGCAAGAAGCTGCCTGTTTCCCTGAGGGAATCCATAACTTTCCTCCTTTGTTTGGAGCAAACAAGGAGTTAGTATGAAAAGCACCAAAACAGGTAAGTGGAACCAAGTGGAATCCAAGAGGAACATGTGGAACAAGGCCCTGCTGAAGCCTCTCAGCTCACTGGCACCAGCAGCACATGCAGAACCACAGAACAGTTTATTTCTCTGAGCTGTACAAGTATTCAAATGTAACATAAATGCAAGATACTACTTACAACAATGGTTGGTGAGATGCAGGAGGCTGGTATGAGAGCCACAGCACAGCCTGCCCCAGTCCAAGAGGACATCAACTGCCACTGCTGGAGCAGTCCCAAGGGGCACAGGAAGAGCCTGGGCCAGGCTCCTGGAGCCACCCACCTCCCTGCCCACCACAGCCACCTTCATTTGCCAGGGATCAATTTGTTTCCACTCACAGCCACTGGAATCAGGAGCTTCCTGTACTCCAGAGGGAGGAAACGTTCTATCAGCACGTGCAGTGGCATCTTCTCTGTCACCAGCTTTTGTCTTGGTGCAAAGAGAGAAGCAAAACAAAACAAAAGCAGAAAAGAAACAGAATTGTCAGTGAAAAGTGTTTCAATGGCAGCATCAAGTTTTTTCTCCTACAAAGACAAAAAGCAATATTGATCCTTGTGGCAGGAACAGAAATACTGCTCTCAGTCACGAGCCAGGAACAATTCCTGACCCCTTGATAAGGCAGTGGCAAGGCACAAGGACATCCAGAAAAAGGTAAAACAAGAGTTCAGGATCCCCAGACCTGGCCAACCAAACCACTGTGTGTCTCAGCCTGTTCATACTCATTTCAGCACCCCCCTGCCAGGTGGGAACATGAGCATCTCTGGATCAGGACAGCAACAGATAATTCTTTTTAAGCAGCAGCACCAGCTCCATTCACAGACCCACACAAAGCCAATGCCTTTAATCAGATGTGCCCTGCAAAACCCCTCTGTTGACTTCAGTATCCTATCTGAAGCCCTTCCAGTGGTGACAAGGAATAACAACATGGAATAATGGCTCTAAATGAGCAATGAGTGTTTCAGGCCCCACATCGTTTTATGGAGGGACTCCCAAGCCAAGAATAAATCCCTTGTGTTTTGGTCATAGGACAAAGTACATTCAAGCATGAGATGGGGCAGGTCAGAGCAGCAGTGAGAGGCTGAGGACAGTTCATCCAGGCTGGGGTCAGGGGAACATGATCTCTGGGAGAGGCCTGGCCTGCCAGGCTGGTGGCTCCTTGTCCTGCTCTGGAGAAAGGTCCTAAGCAACACTTCCTGCTCGTGCACAGCCAGGCAAGGAAAGTCTTGCTGGGCTATCAAAGCACCACAGACACTGCTACAGGTTAATAACAACCCTCCCTTTACCTTCTCATGAGAACTTCCATGTCAGCCATATCCACTGTCTTCCTCCCTGCATGCTTGGCATAAACTTCCAAATCATCACTCAGTTGCTTGAAGTATCTCTCAGAGCTGAAGGAGGAGTGAGGAGGGAAATCAATCAGGCTGTGAAGGCAAAATGCACTGCAGCTGCTCCCTGTGCAGCTCAGTCTGCCACAGGGAACATCCTTCCAGCCCAAGGAAGAAAGTGCAGCTTCTTAGGCAGACAGTTGGGAAAAAGCTGTGCATCCAACAAGAACCTGTCCCAGAATCCCTCCACATGCAAGAAAAGGGGTTAACACAAGTGAAAAACAGCACTGAGGACTGATTAGACTATTAGCTCTTAGGGTGACGCTGTTTAAACAACCTCCATTAGTGTTCAACCTATAACAGAATGGTTGGAGAGAGTCCAGAGGAGGCCAAGCAGATGATCCCAGGTCTGGAGCAGCTCTGCTCTGGAGCCAGGCTGGGAGAGTTGGGGTGTTCAGCCTGGAGAAGAGAAGGCTCCAGGGAGACCTTAGAGCAGCTTCCAGTGCCTGAAGGGGCTCCAGGAAAGCTGGGGAGGGGCTTGGGACAAGGGCAGGGAGGGAGAGGACAAGGGGGAAGGGATTAAAACTGGAAGAAGGAGGTTGAGGTGAGACATGAGGAGAAAATTGTTTGGTGGCGAGAGCCTGGCCCAGGTTGCCCAGGGAAGCTGTGGCTGCCCCATCCCTGGCAGTGTTGAAGGGCAGGTTGGATGGGGCTTGGAGCAACCTGGGCTGGTGGGAGGTATCCCTGCCCATGCAGGGGTCAGGGATAGATTACTCTTAATATTCCTTCCGAACCAAACCAGCCTGGGACTCGATGCAGAGTTTACTCATGAAAGTCACACAGTCTGTGGATCCAAAAAGCCAAGAAACCTGGATCCAGATGTAACACTGCACAGCTGGAGCAGCTTCACCTTGCCCAGTACAGTGACCATTCTCCAGAGCTCACAGAGTGCTAATGGTATTTATGTGCTGTTAAGGGGAGCAGATGGGGAATGGTGCAATTTGTATTGGCTGGAACAAAGCCCTGGAGCTCCTGGAAGGTCAGACACCCTCCTCACAGTGGCCAAAAGCTCCCAGCACGTTTCTGTCCTTGTGCCTTAAGACCCTGTGTGACTCCCCAGCTGAGCAGGGAGGCTGCCAGTTTGCCAGCCCCACTCCAACAGGTTTGTTATTTCAGGAGAGAAAAGAATGACAAAAAAAAAGCCTACAAAGAGTGGGAGGAGAAGCACTTTGCTGTCACTTACCATTTTTCAACAATTTTGAAAGCTTCTCTGGTCACTGGCATTTTCACATAGTGGCTAAATATCTTCTTTATCAAACTACTTGCTACTCCAGACTCATTTCTTTTCCTCTGTGGAACTGGCTTAGCCCGGAGAGGAGGCCTGTGGGGGAATGAAAAATTCCCAGATGGAATGAACAGACATGGGAGAGGCAGAGAGGATCAGGCTGAGCTTGGGCAAACCTTGTGCTGAATTGGAAGGGGTGAAAACTACCCCAAGTTCCTCAGATCTTCTCCCTCCCAACTCTTCAAGATGCCCACAAGTAGACTGTGTAACAACCCACACAGCACTGCAACCACAGGGGAGCCACTCCAGCTTTCCAATGTTAGTGTAATAACTCACCAGCAAACTATGGTTCTCTCCAGTACATAACTGCAGTTTTCACTGCATCCCTGTCTCTTCAGTCTCCAGGAGTGCACCAGCTTAGATGCATCCACAGGCCACCTCCCACCTGCAGGACACCCTCCATGATATCTGTCTGTGGACAAGACTTACCAGAAGCTCCTCTTTTGACACATCTCCTTCCACAGAACAGTTGGCCACAACAACCTTTTACACTAGCACAAACATTTGGACTAGTGAAGTTTTGAGGGGGCTTGTTGTTGTTGGCTTTTTCCCTTAAACAAGACTTTAAGTCCCACAGGAAACTACTCCTGTTCTCCAACCATCTCTGTTCACAGCAGTAAAGGCACAAGAATTGGGTGTTAGTGCCTATTGCTTCAATAAACAAAATTCTAGAGTCATGGGCTAGAAAATTCCTCCTGGCTCCTGGTTAGTGAAGGGAGAGGCAAATTGTAATGAATTTGGAGTAATGCAGAGGACAGGTTCCTGTTCTGCCTCTTGGTGAACTCCATTTCACAGTCAGCACAAGGCAACCACATACAGCCTTAGGTCCTTGCAGTCAGTACAAACGTGTCATTCCATCTGATGGATGTAACACCATCTGAAGTTCCCACTCTCCTGCAAGGGCCTCTGCAGCCCACACTGCAGATGATGGCTCCAGCATAGCTTAGCAGCTGAAAAGCTCCTGGGAAAAGGTTTTGGTGTTCAGCACAGAAAAATATTGCAGGAATATTCATTGGAAAGGCTCAAGGCATCAGATCTGTTCTGGGAGAGCATGGACATGAGTGGAAAGAACTCTTTATTCAGCTGCTAAAGCAGTGAATGAACTGAAGAGTGGAGGACTGCTTGGCCCCTGCCAGAGCTGCTGAAGCACAAACAGCCGCCAGAGCTGGGCTGGGCTCTCACCCCCCCCTACACCCCCTGCCAGGCTGCTGCTGAAGGTGGCTCATACTTACTTGGAAGCAGCAGGTTTGGCAGGATGTGGAGTGGACAGCCTGGGAGCAGGAGGTTTTGCAGGCCGTGCAGTTGACCCTGGTACCTTGGAGGCTGCAGCACGGACAAACGTGGGTGTCTTCATGGAAACATCTAGGGAAAAAAAGCACCTGAGGAGCTGAGATCTGCTTTCAGAGCTCCTGCAGCACACAGGGCTGAGGCAGCAGGCAGAAGCCCAGCCAGGTGGCAGTGCCACCCAGCCCTCCTCCTGCCACAGAGGCTGGGGGGGGTCCCCGACAGCCTGGGAGCAGGAGGTTTTGCAGGCCGTGCAGTTGACCCTGGTACCTTGGAGGCTGCAGCACGGACAAACGTGGGTGTCTTCATGGAAACATCTAGGGAAAAAAAGCACCTGAGGAGCTGAGATCTGCTTTCAGAGCTCCTGCAGCACACAGGGCTGAGGCAGCAGGCAGAAGCCCAGCCAGGTGGCAGTGCCACCCAGCCCTCCTCCTGACACAGAGGCTGGTGGCTTCCCTGAGCCAGGCCCAGCCCACCAGCCCCTGGGCTGGAGCAGCAGGGTGAGGAACACCCAGGGCAGGGCTGCAGGGGCTGATGGGGGGGTCAACTTAGGCTGCCAAGAAGCTGCAGCCTCTTTTCCCAGAGAGAACTTCAAAGTTCTGCAAGCTGTCTCCCTGCATCCTGCTAAACCAGTGGCAAATTCTTCTGAACACAGGGACAAGGAGATCCTTTCAGGATGTCCTTTGTTTGGTTTTTTATTTTGGGGTGCACTGTGCTTTGAAAGACTAAGACTAGTCCCAAAGACACCCCTACAACACACTCTGGGCATTCTCAAATGCAGCCTTGATCTTCCAAAAGTTACAAGCACTCCTGGGGCAAGAGCAGACGGTCTGAACAGCTGTTTGGAAACAGACACTTCCCCTCACTCTCTGGAAAGCCAACGTATTTTGGTTAACTGGAGAGGAAATATTTAACTACACATTCAAAACAGAAGGTTCTAAAGTAAGTTTGGAGTCATACAAATGGCTGTGGAAAGAGCAGCTCAATGCTGCTGCTCAATGACATGAAGTCAGAAGGAGTCCAAGACTAAATTGGAGGATCTCTCTGTATCACTGTATAGAATCATTCAGGTTGGAAAAGACCTAGGATCACCCAGTCCAACTTTTAACCTAACTCTACTAACCCAGCTCTACCAGCCCACTGCTAAACCACATCCCTGAGCACCCTGATTTTGAAACACATTCAGGGATGAAATAAAAAATCCACTTTGCACTCATTTGTCTACCTGTGCAGTTCCAGAAAGTACAAGACGATCTAGGTCTCTGAACCACCTGATGAGCCAGCAACAATCTGGCCCTAGAACATTGCTGGACTATCTGATGGACTAACCTGTTAATAACATTATTAACCTAACCCATGTTGTTCCTCAATCTGTCAAGAAAGAGCAGGGAAAAACTTCTCCAGCTCCCTCCTGCTGCAATGGTTTGCTTACCTTCACTTGCAGAGTCTTCAGATTCATCCTCAGTAGGATCTTGCAGGTCATCCAATTCAACCATGATAGGCTGGTGCTCTAGTTCCTCTGCTTCCTCAGAATCTTCCTCTAATGGCTCCATCCCAGACTTCTCAGAGGAGGAAACAGCATGAGAATTCCTGCCCAGACTTCCAGCTCCAACACTATCACGCTGACATTCTAGATTTCCAAGAGGAAAAACACTTCACTGAAACCAGTATCAGAGCCCAAATTTCAGAGCACTCTAAGAATGAAACCCAGCTTCCCATTCCCAACAAGCCTGCCACCTATCATATTCCCATCTTAAGGATTAGGATGTCAATACACCAAACTAGAGAAGCTAAAGGACTGGTGAATCCTCAGCTTTTCCCTCTGCTACATCCACGTGTGCAGAGGTCACATGAAAAAATAGAGCACATGGAAACGTGGAGAAGCCCCTGAGATTTGAGTGACATTATTAGCTGAGCTACTTCTAAATTATCTTCCTTTACTCAGACCTAAGTCTCACCAAAGCCTAACTGCAGCTGTTGGAACTCAGAAGAAGCAGCAATACAGAACAAGTCCCTTGGGAGATCCTGATTTGCCAACACATTAAGAAGCTCTCCAAATTTTATCAATCTTGGCCTGATTCTGGAACTTCCACCAGTGAATTTTAATCAAAGATCCCTTCTGCAATTATAAAATACTCAACACTATTGCCAATATAAATTCGTTTTCCATTTGAGCACAATTAATTTGATGTTTTCCCAGCATTTAGCCCAGATTTCACAATGTAGGAGAATTTACAAGTCTCTTTCTCAGCACTGATGCCAATAATGCAGCTTGAGAGGTCCCTGGTATTAGAGATTTGATCAGGATTAGAGCTTGTCCTCACCAGCTTCAGGAGGGCCTGGGTGTTCCACATTGCCTTCTGCTACCCCCTTTTCTTCTGAAGGAGCCATTTCTGTTTCAACTCTGGCCACTTGTTCCACACTTCTCTCTGACACTGCTTTTTTGGTCAGTTCCTTCTCCAAATGTTCAGAATATCCAGCATTTGCACAATGCTCTGCAGCTAAAATAGGAACTTCTGTCATCAGTCTTACCTACAAAAAAGGGCCCAATCTGCCACCAGCACACAGACTGACAACTCAAAGGGACTCCAGGGAAGTAAACTCAGCAAGAGCCACAAGCTATGAGGAAAGGAAGCAGATGTGGTTCCCTTCCAAAAGTTTACAGCTGAGAAATGCACAGCTTGTCCTGGGGTTGCTCTACAGCCACTTCATTGGGGTGCAGGTCAGATCCCAAGGAAGGAACTTCCCTTATCAGCAAGGAGAGGTCCCCGAGATCTGCCACCTCTACCTCTCTTCTCCCTTTTGCAGCTTGTGTGAAACCCCAAATTCTTCCCTATAAGCCTGACAACACATGGAGTTTGTGCTCAGATCCTTCTTCCCATGTCCTCAGGTTTCCTGAATAAATAATCCTGCAGGAGATATTGCATAATAAAAGAGCAGAGCACCCACCAGTAGTTTTAACCATCTCAGACAAGCCTCTAGCAGACAGAAAGAGAAGAAATAACTGGACATGTGATTTGTCATTAACAACTTCAGATACTGAAGAGCACTCAAAATACTCCTTTTTCCCTAGATACTAAATTTATACTCCACATTTCTTTTTACCACATAACTCAGAAACCAAGTGTTATGGAACAGTACCAGGGAATTACCTGCAAAAATCTTACTGGGAACTCTCTCAGTGCTGTCAATTGCTGAAGGATTTGAAAATCCTGGCTGAGCCCAGAAGTCAGGGCTGTAAAAGGGGATTTTTCACACCCTCTCCAGGGACTGGGAGGTTCCACACTCAACAGGACAAGTGCCATGCCCTCAGGACCCCCAAGACCCCATGAAGGGGACAAGGCAATTTGGCCAAAAATGGTGCAAAAAACCAGGAATATCAACCCCACCAAGCAGAACATTGTGCTTCCGGCACCAGAACAGGGATAAATCTTGCCTAAGGTTAAGTGAAATGTTAGCTGGCCTTGTGGGGAGAAAAGGTCAACACTAAACCTGCCTAAGACAGACAGGCACCAGTGAGTCCCACACTACCAGGTCCCTGCTGGGATCCAACAGAGGATACCAGATGCTATTGAGACATTCCAGATGTATTGTGTCCAGTTCTGGGCTCCCCAGTTCCAGAGGGACAGGGATTTGCTGGAGAGAGTCCAACAGAGCCTATGAGGATGATGAAGGGACTGGAACACCTGCCTGAGGAGGAAAGGCTGAGAGACATGGGGCTCTTCAGTCTGCAGAGGAGAAGACTGAGGGGGGATCTAATGAATGTCTCTCAATACATGAGGGCAGCAAGAAGGCAGGACAAGCTCTTGTCACTTGTGCCCTGGGACAGGACCAGGGGCAATGTCAAACTGGAGCCCAGGAAGTTCCACCTCAACATGAGGAAGAACTTCTTTGCTGTGAGGGTGACAGAGCCCTGGGACAGGCTGCCCAGAGAGGTGGTGGAGTCTCCTTCTCTGGAGCCTTTCCAGCCCTGCCTGGATGCCTTTGAGTGACCTGCCCTGGTTTTGATCCTGCTCTGGCAGGGGGATTGGACTCCATGATCTCTGAAGGTCCCTTCCAACCCCTGATACTCTGTGATCCTGGATCATGTACAGGTCTCTTCCCCTGCAGCAATCCCTCCTGCAGTTTGGTACAACCTGCCAGTGCCCGTTGCTCCTCTCTAGCTGCTACACTGACAACTCAGGGAGCTGCTGGTTTGCTGAACAATCTCCTCCAGGCTGCTCAAGGTTTTTCTTTTTAAACTTCTTACATTTCACTCCCACTTTCTTCCAGGCTAAGCAGCCATTATCTTTAGCCATTCAATGTACAGAAACTGCTCCATGGATTTCATTCTCATGAATGGTAAAACTGCTTTTCTCTGCACCTTCTCTAGCTCTGTTAAATTTATTCAGAAATTGAGAGGTTAGATCTGCACACAGCATCAAAAGGTGAGGACAATAATTTCCATGGTGCCACAGTGACCTTTGGTCACCTCTTTCTTTCATCATCACTTTTACATGTCATTTGCTTTCCTGCCCACCCCCCCGGTCTTTGAGCTGCTGCTCACAGAGCTGGAACAATTCTGAGGTGACTTCCATCAACCTCAAGAACCACATCCCATTTCAACTTCACACCCCACAGGTGCATCCAAGTACAGCAGGCCAAAGGAATCCAGAGGGATTACAAAGTGCCAGCCTCACACAACTGTAAGCATAGGGGGGAGGAATATCTGCTGCCCAGTTAACTACCCTATCACAACTGTTTAAAATCAAAGGCTGTAATATTGTGATAAAAAGGCCACATTACTAATTTTGCTGATACACCTGGTACCTAGAAGCAATAACCTCTGGACACTGCAAATATCCAGTTTAAAATTCTAGTAACAAAACTGTTGGTGCTGTGGATTGTTCAGTTTCCAGACTTCCATAAGGTAACTCATTCATGTCAAACTTCAGATGTAATTAAGCCTGGGGAGAGGTAAACCCACATGGCAATGGTCTTATTTCCAGACACTGTTGAAGGAACTATGGGAAAGACTTAAAAAGGATCCTGGAGTCCAGAAAATGAAATACAACAACTAGTTGTTACCTGCTAGTGACAATCTTTAAGGGAGAGCAACCTTGAAGCCCATCTCTTAAGCTAAAAAGCTGCTGGGTAGTGCTGGAGAATGATACTGGCCAACATGACTAAAATAAATATAGCAAAGAATTAAAATGTACACAGAGTGGTTAGCCAGGTGTATTCCTAACCAAGAGGGAGTTATTCACCTTTCCCCTGGGAAGATAAGCACTACCATGGAATTGTCACTGTGAACAAAACAAATGCTAAACAGTGCTCCTGTGCTAACAAGCACATGAGCAAGTCACAGCCTCCTGTTAGAAACCTTGTCTGGAAATGCTCAGAGTCTGATATAACTCCAATTAAATTATCTCCAGCATCTACTGCCCAACAAAATCTTATTTTACTCTGCAAGTCAGCTGAAAAACTCCTTGTTTTAATCAGATTAAAGTCCTCCATTGCCTTGAGCACTGAAACCACGTCTTACCCTGGCTGAAAATCTCTTCCTGCTCCAATTCCTTCACTGCATTAGGCATCTCCTCTTCTGTCTCGCTTACATCTAGGTCTTCAATGATACGGGACACCACTTCTCTCAAATACATGCTGAAAGATCTCTCAGGCTTTAGAGGGAATGGGGATCTCAAATATTTACTGGACCTTCTGGGTGGCACAGAGGAGCTCCATCTGTTAACAGCTAGAGAGCGAGCGCACGGATGCGCCACCAGGACCTTTTTAAACTGAGAAATGAAAAACCAACCAAGCAGAGAGAGAAACACACAGAAGATGCTTTTCCTTTCCCTCCAACAGTTTTGGAAACTCATGTTGTATCTTAAGAACCTGCTGAAAAAGTCCTTTTTAAACTTATTTTTCAGTTCACACCAAGGAGCAGCCCGGCCACCAGCTACCCTTGGTAAAACAGCACAACTGTGGAAGCATTCACCTTTGATGTCCCTGCCCTACAAACTCCAGCACCTTTAGGATACTCTCTCCCTCAGCCTCCTCTTCCTCCCATTTAATCCAGTCCCCTATTCCACATCCTCTACACTTTTCTCCATGTCATCTCTCCATTTCCCCTAGACCTCCCTACCATTGGGCTCTCAGAGCAAGGAACCTTTTCTCTGCTAATCCCTTCCTTTCTCCTTAGAAAACAGCTGGTTAGAGGTGCCCAGAGGCACAAGGAAGGCAAAGGGCACAGACTGGCACACAGGAGGCTCTGCCCCAGCAGAGGGAAACACTTTCTCACTGTGAGGGCAACTGAGCACAGGAACAGGTTGCCCAAAGTTTGCAGATTCCATCGTCAGAGACACAGAAAAGCCACCTAGACACAGTCCTGGGCAACCTGCTTTAGGGTGGCCCTGCTAGAGCACGGGGGTTGGAGAAGATGACCTCCAGAGGTCCCTTCCTACCTTGATCTTGCTGTGGTTTCAGATAATACCTGCTAAGCCCCAAGTCCCAACCCACAGGACTCACTGCCATCCACCGCCTCTTCTGAGCTAGAAAGCTGTTCCACTGGGTTATCCTCCTGAGAATGATCTTGCTGATCTTCTCTCTGGTTTGCAGGTGTTCCTGGAGATACAAGAGTCATTCTACCACCATGCTCAAGGATCAACTCCTCAGCATGTCTTTGGGTCCCTTCCTCATTGGTGCCTGCCTTGGATACCAGGCCCGCCAGCCCTGTTTCCTTTTGAGCTGCATCCAAAATCTTGCTTCTCTGTTCCAAAGTTTTGGAATGCAATAGCTGTGGTTCAGGAGCAGAAAGTTGGTTTTGGTTGGGTTCTTCAACCTGAGGCTGAACAAAGAGCTCTGTGCTATCCAGCACCACCTCTGCATCATTTGTCAGCATGGCTGTTTGCATCCCAGAGGCTGCTTCCGAGTCCACAAGATAGTCCTGTGCTGTGAAGAAAGTTTTGGAAAAGGATTTATTTGATAAACTGTGCAAAGACACACATTTATTACCAGTTCCTACATAATTTACCAGGGTGTGTAGTGACAGGATGAGGGGTAATGGTTTTAAGCTGGAAGAGTGGGGATTTAGGTTGCCTCGTCCTGATCTGGCCTCCCAAATTACACTGGAGTTCTGGGAACACACCTTTAAATCAAATACAGACCTCACTCCCTTTGCTCTGGAGACAGACTGGGAGAGTTGGGGTGTTCAGCCTGGAGAAGAGAAGGCTCCAGGGAGACCTTAGAGCACCTTCCAGTGCCTGAAGGGGCTCCAGGAAAGCTGGGGAGGGGCTTGGGACAAGGGCAGGGAGGGAGAGGACAAGGGGGAAGGGATTAAAACTGGAAGAGGGAGATTGAGGTGAGACATGAGGAGGAAATTGTTTGGTGTGAGGGTGGTGAGAGCCTGGCCCAGGATGCCCAGGGAAGCTGTGGCTGCCCCATCCCTGGCAGTGTTGAAGGGCAGGTTGGATGGGGCTTGGAGCAGCCTGGGCTGGTGGGAGGTGTCCCTGCCCATGCAGGGGGTTGGGACTGGATGATCTTTAAGGTCCCTTCCAACCCAAACCAGTCTGGGACTCTACCAGTTTAGGAACTGCTTTTAAAAAATCACCCTATGTAATCCTCCCCCCAGAAAAAAATGAATTAACAACACAAAATAAACCTTTTCTCTTCAGCATGTTCTGCTCCACTCCCCCTTCAAAAGCTTCCACATCAATAGCTCTGCGGTTTCTCGGCCTCCGGAGCAAGCCCTTCTTCTCCACAGTGTCTGGTGGCATCAAGGAACCAACAGACACACGAAGGGATCTGCAAAAAGAGGAGGAAGGAAGTAATTTTCCTAACTTACACACTCTCTTTTTACCCTCAGATGTCACACATGGTGCCGCTAACACTGAGATTTCCTAAATCCCTTAGCTAGGAGGAATCTGCCCCAAAACCTTGAAGGTCACGTGCCAGTCTGCTTTGAACAAGTAGTTGAAGCAGAGTCACAGGGTGGTGGGGGTTGGAAGAGACCTCTGGAGATCATCCAGTCCAACCCCCTGCTAGAGGAGGATCACCTACAGTAGATCACACAGGAATATGTCCAGATGGGTTTGGAATGTCTCCAGAGAAGGAGACTCAATGAAGTATCACAGTATCACCTAACAGCAGGAGGTGCAGCAGAGATCAGGGAACAGACCAGTTCACAGCCTCCTACCTGAGATGGCTGACATGAGACACCTGGCAAAAGGTCCAGGGAATTTAAAAATTGTAGATAACAAAAAAAACCAACACCAAAATGCAACAAAACGAAGGAAAATAAAACGTCTGAGAGGAAAGATGTCCTCCAGGTTACAGTGGGGTGGCAGGAAGACTTAAAAAACATGTCTAAGAAGCTGCTCAGTATCAGCATTCACAGCCAAGTCCTGCTGTGGGACTGACTGTGAGGTGGGAGCTGAGACAGCACCAACAAAGCATGGGAAAGGATGGATCTCCCTGGATGTGTTTCGCATCAAGAGACACCACGCTCAGCTATATCCTGTCTCTGGGCAGCCCAACCTAAAAAGGGGGTTCAGAGCACTCAAAAACAGGAAGGACAGAATGCAGCCCCATGGAACACCCTGCACAGGCCCCCAGACCAGGGCTGCAGTGACAGCAGTGATACCAACTGCCAACCAGGGCTGGGGTCGTGATCAAAACACATGAAAAGCAGCACAGGAAAACCAGAACTGCACTAAAGACTGACTGCAATAGCTGCAACTGATGTGATGAGTCAGTTGATAGGCTGAAATCACACAGACTCACCAAGGTTGGAAAAGATCTTTAAGATCCTCAAGTCCAGCCTATGCCCTGACACCACCACATCTCCAGACCATGGCACCAAGTGCCACACCCAGCCTTTCCTTGAGCACCTCCAGGGATGGTGCCTCCACCACTTCCCTGGGCAGTCCATCCCAATGTCTACTCGCCTGCTCCATGAGGAAGTGCTTCCTGATATCCAACCTAAACCTCCCCTGGAGCAGCTTCAGGCCAGGCCCTCTTGTCCTGTCACTGGTTGCCTGGAAACAGAGCCCAACCCCACCTGACCACAACCTCCCTGCAGGTAGTTGAAGAGAGTGAGAAGGTCCCCCCTGAGTCTCCTCTTCTCCAGGCTAAACAACCCCAGCTCCCTCAGCCTCTACCTATAAGACTTTCCCTCTCATTCCTTCACCAGCCTCATTGCTCTGTATATATGTCTATAATATATCAGTTAACAGGCAGAAACATTGTTCTAAGGTATATTATATACTGATTTATGGTTGGAAGCATGAGCGTAAAAAAAAGAAAGAGGAGTGATTCTGCTAAGGAGCACCAGCAGCAACACATGCTGGACCAACCTGGGCAGACAGGGCAGAAAAATCTGAGTATCACAAGGTGTGGGGCCTAACACCTGCAAATCTGTCACCAGAGCAGATGATTGTGCCAATATTAAGACATATCTTGAGCAGGAACCCAGGTACCTACAGTTCTTCACAACTCCAGAGGTGATGGACCAAGGCAGACAGAGTTTGGGCAGCCAGAAGTTAAGACATTTGAGGTTGAACTCACCGAGCCAAGACAGTGCTGTCCAACGCTGGCTGGGCTGGGGACAGATTTGTGACACATTAGTTGAGAAATTACACTAAATCACCCTCCCCACCCCAATGGTTCCTCCTCTGTCTAGAGCCAGTTATGCTCCAATCCTCAAGAGTTACATTTTGGTGAGAACAGAATTAGATTACAGATTCCCTTTACAACTTCTTGCCTGTGTTTCAGAACTGGATATTGGAATTCTGATAAGCCATTTCTAAAAGGGTAATCAAACAGTTAATTCAAAGATATTTTCATGCAACACATGTCCTCACTCTCAATAATATTTATCTTACTACATTAACAGTAAGATGCTGGGCTAGGGCCTCAGCCACAACTACCCTCAGCAACCCAAACCAAACAGTAAAGCACCTGGAAGCTTCAGCAGGGCAGACAACTAACACCACGGATGTTCCACAAATCCAAAAGCAGATCAGAGCAGTGGCACAACAGGCTCATAACTAGAAAATACTAGAGCACATCCCCTCTGCTCTCAGAGAGCTGCCTGCATCTCCCCAGAGCACCTGAAGACCAGGGATGGGGCTAAAGACGATTTATTTTTTTTTACACACCCAAAACCATGTGTTTGTGTTCCCAGGACAGTTAAGGACAATTAGTCACAGGGAGATGAGCTTTATGGTGGGATGAATCACTCTCCACTGATGAGATCCCCCCCTAAACTTTCCGGGGACTTCAGCTGCCTGGTGCACACCCAGGGCTGAGGGACTGGGGTCTACTTTGGAGCTCAGTCCCACCCCTGCATCCTACTCCTGCTGCTACTGCCAACAGGGCAGGTAAACCAAGGTGAGGTGTTTGACCTGCCTCTGTCCAACTGCAGATAAACTGAGAGTTATATCTCACAAATCAGCCAATTTCTGTTTCAAGGGAAGACTTGGTCCCATATGAGATTATTTCTTTAATAAAACTGCAAGACCATTTTTTCTCAAAAGGGGACCTTATAACTTATTTCACATAACTGCAACAGGTACACAGCTTGTTCTATTTTCAAGTTTCTGGCACTGAGGGGCAGACAAGGACCACTTCCTTTGGAGACACTTCAAAAACTCCCAGAGCACCAAGTTGGAAAACCAGTCAAGAAGTTATGTACAGTCAGGGCAGAGCTTGAAACTTGGCTCAAAAAGGCTCATTTTACATTTGATAGGAGGAGCTTTGACCTCCTCTGCTACCCCTTTGCAGGTGATACCACAGTTTTGCTTCCAAACATGCAAGTTCCCAGCTGATAAATTACAGAACTCAAACTGCAGCAGATGAAAATCAAAGGAGAGCAGGTGCAGAGCTGAGGAAGGGGATTTCTGGCTGCAGCCTTACCTTGTTGCTGGGGAAGCCTTCTGTCTGCTGCTCTCTCAAACTCAGAAACACTGAGTTTCTTTCTCTTCCTAGTCATATGGAACCTGGCAATGGATGTGTTCTCAGGAACAAGCTCTGACAGCTGCATTTCCCCCCTATCAACACAATAACAAAGACAACATCACACCTTAGTACCCTAGACAGGTTCCTGTAATCTTGCTGACAAGCAAATTAAAACTGTCCTTGCTGCAGCAGAAGGAAATAATCAGTGATTAACTCAGCAAATGCAGGAACACTTCACCCCCTCCTACTAAATCATAGTACATTTCACAAAAAATATCACAACATGAGTGTAGCTTCATAACAAAGAGGGTTGAGGAAGGTCAGACTAGAATAAAGCTTGGAATTCCAACAAGCTCCAGAGCTGTCTTCTCCTGACAGCACCCACAGCAATTAGGTAGGTCAGTTGCTAGAGTGGACATGAACAAGCCATTGTCCTGAAACACTGGGTATCACAAAGCACCCTGGCACATGGAATGGAGAGGGAATATCCCAGTCAAGCATTGGATCAGGAACAGAAAGTCAATTTCTGAGTTGCTTCCATTACTGTGTTCTGAGCATAAAGCCTGAGCATTGGGATTAACCAGCTTGTGATGGGGAATCAACAGAAAGCAGCAGGGAAGGAAATTCCTTGTTTCCCACATCCATGCTGGCAGGTACTACTACAAGCAGGGAAGGCAGAGCCCTCCCACATGCAAGGAAGTTCATATCAAGCAAAGGAAGGCTCTGAGGGAATCTTCAAGAAGACTTAACATTTAAAAAAACCTATTTAAAATAGTTTATAAAACTCTGTTTAACTTCAACAACCAGGTAACACATGGAATATAAAACCCTGCAGAGATCCAGCTGTCTTGCTTTTTTCCTTTAAGAAAGGTTGACAAGAAAAGAGATACAAGTAAAATCAAGAAGGAATTAAAATTATATTGCTTATATTTTTTTAATTAAAAAAACAAAAACAAAAAAACAAGCTGCAATTAGAAAAAACTCAGATGTTTCTTCCTCTATTAAAAAACCAGAAAGATAAAAGCTTGTTTAATCTTTTCCATGACCTGTTTAAGGTTGCTTATAGCCAGTGCAAAAAGTTAAGCTACAAAACCAAAAGAAATCCCATTATTTAGAAGAGTCTCCTTTGCAATGAGCAAAACCACAAACCAGTGCTGTGACACAACTGCATAAAGCAAACTGAGCCCTATCAGCACCACTGCTTTTCTTCTATCTCATACCAAGGTGGAAGCAAACAAACCACACTTCAGCCTCTTCAATTCAATCAGGCCTATTTATTTACAACACTACCAGAAGAAACAAGGGCAACCAAAAAGCAGTAGCAGAGAACTGAAGTGCTTGGACATCAGGCCCAAGCCAGAGTTGATCTACAGATGAGTCCTGTATCTATTTTGTAGCTAATAATCTTTGTACTAATTAGTATTGTGTTACGTTTTAATTATAATTTTAAACATATCAATTATTTTACCAATCACAAACCACTTATGCTGAGGTCAAACCAGGTATTTTAGCAGACTCTTGTGCAATTGACCACCAAAATATGGCTTATGCTGATAACATGCATAACAGTGCATGCACAACAATGAGCTATTCTGGGGAACCCTTTCAACAGTGTTCTGGCTCTGTCCTCAGGGCTGCCCCAAGCCCTGGAATCAGTTGGTCAGGGGGTGTACCACCAGCTGTTTCCACACAAGGAGATACACAAGTCATTCTATAAAGGCTGGACCCTCTTGCAACAAACTCTGGAGACTTCAGCTACAGGGGGACACACTGTGTAGGAGCTCCCAGTGGCCAGGGAGGAACTCCAGGTCTCGCTGGTTGCCCAGCGACTGCACACTTGGATGATGGGAAGGTAGGAGGGGCAACTGGTGATGTATCTCTCTTCATCACTGGAGCTGTTCTTGCGTAGTGATGAAGAGCTGCATTGCTGGGCTTTGCTTTGCTGCAGTATTTAAGTGTTGTTATATTTCTCTTCAGTAGATATTGTGTATTTCTCCATAGTGGTCATTGTGTGACCCTTAACAGCAACCAGTAAAGCCAAGCTAACTTCTCTAAGGAGGGGTGTGTGTCCTTTGTGCTGCCCCTGCCCATTTCATAGAACCACAGGGGTTGGAAGGGACCTCTGAAGATCATCCAGTCCAACCCCCCTGCAGGAACACCCAGGAAAGTGTCCAGATGGGGCTTGAAAGTCTCCATAGAAGGAGACTCCACCACCTCTCTGGGCAGCCTGTCCCAGGGCTCTGTCACCCTCACAGGAAAGAAGTTTCTCCTCAAGTTGAGGTGGAACTTCCTGTATTGTCACTTGGTGCCATTTCCTCTCATCCTGTCACAGGCACCACTGAACAGACACTGGCCCATTCTTGACACCCACCCTGCAGGTATTTATAGATATTAAGCAGGTCCCCTCTTAGTTTTCTCTTCTCCAGACTAACCAGCCCCAGGTCTCTCAGCCTTTCCTGGTATGACAGACGTTCCAATCCCTTCATCATCCTTAGAGCCACCATTGGACTCCTTCCAGCAAATCCCTGTCCCTCTGGAACTGGGGAGCCCAGAACTGGACACAACACTCTAGATGTGATCTCACCAGGGCAGAACCTCCCTTGACCTGCTGGACACGCCAGCATAATGCACCCCAGGATACTATTGGCCCTCTTGGCCACAAGGGCACACTGCTGTCCCATGGATAACTTATCCACCAGGACCCCAAGGTTCTCCATGGGGCTGCTTTCTAGCAGATCAACACCTAATTTATGCTTTACCCACTTGGTAAAGCATAATTTGGCAAAACAGGAACACAAGGTGCTGCAGTTGGTGGTTACACCTCAGCATCATCTGCACTCGACCTGGAGCCTTTGGGAGATCCAAGGGCTTCTATTTTAGTTTCTCTCCCTGACAACCAAAAAAGGGAGGCTTTCACCAGCTGGTGACTCACTGCACTTCCACTGCAAACAGATACCAAAAGTCTGCATTTGAGAAGGGGGAGCAAGCACACACCTGCAGGCCCCCAGTCCCAGTGATTCCTACCAAACTTTTAAAGCTGGAGAGGTATTTCTGAACATCTGACAAAACAGAATCCTGGTCCCTGGGAGAGAAGCAGAGAATCCTGCTCCCCAGTCCCATCACAGGGACACAGGGACACCTGGCCATGTGAAAAATAAAAGTACAAATTAAAAAAAATATATACTTACATGCTAAGAACCCTCTTAGATGGGAGTTCTGATGCAGCTTCTTCTTTTTCTTCATTTTGAAACACCAGGGGTGCCAGAGGTGAAACTTCTGGTTCTGCCAACAAATCAAAACATTCCCTTACCATGGTTCAACCCAGCAAGGATGCCAACATGCAGCAGGCTGCCCATCTACACCACAGTCTGTAAGTTATATTTATTAATAGGCTGAAATAAAGACCTGGTTAAAATGATTGGAATTCTAGCTCCTTGCAAGGCTGTTGTGCACAGTGACAGAGCCAAGGCTGCCAAATTTGGGGTCCCAGGTCCTGCATCAGAGCTGAGCTGCAGCCTGCAAATCCACACACCCCCACACAAAGGTCACAGGCTTCTTGCTCACCAGGGCAAGAGGGTTGAGCAAAGAGGATGTTCAAGAATATTTCACCCATGCAAGACCTGGTCTTTGAGACAGAACTGCCTCACACCACCTCCTTCCACTGCAGCAACTCCTCTTTTAGAGAAACCAGTCACACAATGGCCTGCACTTCTGATCTAACACAGCAGGAACAACAGGCTACAAAAGGGAAGCTCCTGCTCTCAACTCCACCAAAACACTGTCCTTCAGGTCCCTGGTTTTCCTGAAAAAAAGACACTTACGGGTCTGGATGATCCTCATGAGCATGTTCCGTGGTGTGTCCTGGCCCAGCTCAGGGAACACAGTCGGTCTCTGCTTTGACAAGGTGCTTCTGCCAGAGCTGTTCTCCTTTCCTGGATAAGGCACAGCCTGAAGAGAGAAACCACACGTGCAGGTCAAACCCCACACACCCATTAGTGAAGACAAATCCTACTATCAAAAACGTTCATCCTCTGGCTTCTAATACAAAGCTGAGCCACCAAACATCGACCTTCCCCAGGCTGCCCCGGCACGTTTGCTCCTGCAGGGCATGGGCACCTCGTCCTGGGCAGGAGACAATTCCGGCCTGTCCAGCAGTGCGGGGGGTTCAACACACACCTCGTGCCGTGGGCAAGAGCCTGAGGGGCTCGCGGGCCCTGGTCCCTCCGGCCCGGGGGGAACGGAGGACAAGGTAAGGCAGGCGGCAGCGGCCCCGGTCACCGACGCATTCGGGGGTTTCCTCCCATTTCTCGCGTCCGAAGGCAAACGAGAGCACGGGAGCATCGCCGCGCCCTGCCGGGGCCTC